CAAAGCAATGGAAGTAGAATGGGAAAAAGAAACTGAAAGCAAATGCTATGAGAGGTCATACAAAATATGTTTTAATTAAGATAATTCTATCCTTTCTGCCCCAGCAGCAAAGCACTAGACTATTGGTGCAGATGTTTACAGCCATGAGTCCAATGGTGTTAAAGGGTGTCCAGGCTAGGGACTGAATCTAGAACCCTGGCCTCATTAAGGTACTGTTCTAGCCGTCTAAGCTAATTAGCTTAGTTTAACTTAATACCATCTGTGGACTGCACATTCGGTGTGGCAAAAAGACAAGGAGTTATTTCTGGGAGGTAGTCAGTTTGGTTTACTAATGACCAGGAGCTGAGCATTTTAGCCCCAAGTGTCAACGTAAAACCTACCCTCCAGTCTTGCTGGCGCCTTTCATTTGTCACTACTTCTCTCTGACCACTTAGATTTCCATATTGGTCTGTGTGGAAATGAAAAGGAGCCACAGGAGGGATAAATGAAGAAACTATTAGATTCATTCATTCACTCAGAAAGAATTTATGAACTCCCTATCCTGTAACAGTAGCTATCCTGAGTTGCTAGAGATAAAGTAAGCGACAAAGCAGAGACACCGACCTCTAGAAACTCAGAGATCGTTAATAAGGCAGAAATGAATGAATTAGGCCTTGCAACCTCTCGCATAGGAGACAGTGAGGGAATATTGAGTAATTTCATTGTTAATTTCATTATTAATATGTTATGTATTAATCTGCAAGCACCCATTAAAATATTTCTTGAAATATGACTGAGTTCTGCTTTTAGCTGAAAGAGCCCCATCAGTTATCAGTTTGATAATGGCTTCTTGTTCTGCATTTATTTTGTTCTATTGCTGTCAAAAATGAAGTTATGCTAAACTGAATATCTGATCAGAGGAGTCACAAAAGAACACTTCAGTCTAATGTTCTGATCAGTATCTAGCATGTCATGAGGTAAAAACTTTTACATTTATACCTCTGGTATCTGAAATACACTGTTGACAAATGAATTTAGTTGTTTTTTTTTTTCCTCTGAATTGTGTAGGACCTAACTTTTTAAAAATAGCTCTCTTAATATACATTAAAACTTAAAGCATATCAACAAATGTAATTAAGGCCTTTGTACTTTTCGTTGACTGCCACATGACCAATATTTAGGAGAAGAACGGACTTAATTACATATCATACCAAAAAAAAAGAAAAAGAGCTTGAAGACATTGATTAAGGGTGATGTTAAACCAATCAGCAGTTTTTAAAACAGAAAGAAAAGAAAAAATCTATGCCCACATCTGACCTGGAAAAATAAATCAGCTTATTTTTAGCCACATTTGGAAAACAGTGGAAGTGTTCTATGTAAAGGCTGGAAATAAAAACCCTCACACATCAGCTATCAAAATAGTAGAATGAAGTAAAATACCATCGGGCCTCAAATGACAATGGATGTTGCTTCACAGTCTTTGATTTTCAGGAAAACAAAGAGAGATGTTTGCTAAATGAGAATTAAAAGAAAGAAGATATCATAAGGGAATAAATAATAGTATCTTCTCATCAGGTTGAAAATAGTTTCTCTATGACGAGATTCACAGAGGTTATGAAAAGATGAGGCCCCTTAATTTTTTACCAAAGGTTGGGATGGGTCCCTGCAACTCTGTTCCAAGATATGGCTTGGAAATGTAATTAGCTTTAATTAATCATGAAGTAGTGCCAGGGGGAAAAAAATGTTCACAGTATTACTGTGGGTCTTGGCTACTTAAGAATCTAACAACTTCCTGCCTACCTCTTCCTTTTCTTTTCTTTTCTTCCTTTTTCTTTACTCTACTTTTCTTTTCTTTTTTTTTTCTCAGTATAATGGCAAAAACTGGGGGACGGTGAATAGATGGTTTTTTAATTTTATTTTTGAGCTAGCAACTTGTGCATAGAACTTTTAATTATACAGAAGAGATAATTCAGCAAGCTATGCACTGACAGAGGTATATTTTAACTTTTTAAAAGAAGACAAGATTTAATTTTAACTGAATCTAACAAACTTGGGACATATTGATTGAAATAAGAAAGACCTGCAGCCTCTGTACTAAGGTGGAGAAAGTAGATTGATACTTAGGACACTGGAGGCCAGTCCTTGATCTGTCCTACGCAACCTGCCTGATGTTGAGCAACTCCTCACCATTATCATCACTTTTTTTGTTTATGACAGATTTGGCAAACATCATGGAAAATCCACTACTATTCTAGAGATAATTTGTTTTTTTATATAGTGAAATAGTATATTAGAAATTGGCTTTGATCACTTAATATTTTGGAATCTGTGCCTTCTTCACCCCTATTTTTTTAAATAAATTTAGTTTGTCTCTTCTATGACATCTTAACCTCTCTCAGAGTTTAAGGTCAGAAATGGTATTTTTGCCTTTTTGGACTCAGCATCCAATAGATGTTCACCAAGGTAACTCTTCATTGGAAGTTAAGACTCTTCTTCATTTAAAATCATTTCCTGTATGTAAATAAGACCTAGAGGAAAGAAGTCGCTCTTTTATATTCAGGAAAAATGGCTTTATCCTAACCTACCCAACTAGCTATGATCCTGTAAGTTAGCCTTTAACCTTTCTATGTCTCTGCTTTCTTGTCCACCACATAAATGTAATGATCTTTTAAAAGTACATTATAGTGATTAGTAGATGATAGTTCTTTGACAAGTTGAAGGTACTGTTTAATTTTGTTGTTATCATTAATAAGGTAAGACTTGTGAAAATACAGAGAACCAGATTTTGCTCTCCTGTCTGGATGCACAAAGGTGGCTTACATAAATGTAGTCACAGATCATTCTTTGAGCACTCATAATCAGTGTCCACTGTCTTCTAAAATCTTGAGTGTATCTTGGGGGCCTCCCTTGTGAAGGCAGAATTTCCCTATTTATAATCTACACTTGAACTGTTCCAGTTCACCTGCACTTTCCTCGCTCTGCCACTAAGTAGTTTTAAGCCATGTTACAAAGTTTGGCATTTGTAACTATACTCCTTTGTTTACTGTAATGGTCTTGCCACTTCATGGAATTCAGTGGCCTCCTGGAACCCTTAATTTGCCTTGCCAGAAGCTTTTAGTTAGAGAAAGAAGCTGGATCAGCCTGCTCTCCCTCAAGTCTTCTAAACTAGAATCATACTGAGACACTGAAATACAGTCTTCAGGATGGGACTGATCTACAGCCAACTCAGGTTCTGGGCAAGAGAGCTCTCACTGTGTTCAGTGCATCTTATTCAGGTGTCTTTCTCTTAGAATCTGGTCCATGTATCCTCATGGATGGGCCCCAAGGACAAGGTCATTCCAATACAGTTTGAATATACATGATCAATGCCTGGCACAGAGTAACTACTTAATACTTTTTAAAATGAAATAACAGGGGCGCATGCGGGGGCTCAGTCGGTTAAGCATCCGACTTTGGCTCCGGTCATAATCTCCCTGTTCGTGGGTTCAAGCTCCGTGTCGGGCTCTGTGCTGACAGCAAGCTCAGAGCCTGGAGCCTATTTCAGATTCTGTATCTCCCTCTCTCTCTGACCCTCCCCTGCTCACGCTGTCTCTCTCTCTCTCTGTCTCTCAGAAATAAATAAAACATTTTAAAAATTAAAAAAAAATAAAATGAAATAACAAAGGATCCATAAAGCGATGTCTACTGAGTATCTACTTTATCTGTAGTTGGGGGAGACACATAAGAAATCTATGACATGGTTCTATACCGAATAGTGTAATTAATTTCAGAAGAAAGAACATGCATATATGAAATATTTGAGCATTAGAGTGGGGAGTTTTAAGTGGTAGAATGAGTGATGTAAAGCATAAGGCTACAAAATTCAAGGAAGTGGGGGGGGGCAGGGAAGATGTCTCTTTGGTAGTGAAGTTGAAGTAGATTCAGAAAGATGGATGGAAATGAGAAAATGCAGGGTTTGGCATTTCAAGAAGGAGTAACAACATGAGACAATATTCCAAAATGGAAATGGATATTTTTTGTTTTTGTTTTTGCTTTTTTTACCATTTACTGTTGGACAGTAGAGAATGGGTATCGGAAATAGGAATGTAAAACAATACAGGATTGCAACATACAATATATATTACATTATAATAACCCATAGAAATACTAATTAATGTGCACTAGGTTGTATGTGTAGATGTTTATTTTTTTAAAGAATAAAAATGCTGAAGAAATTAAGTTCCGTCAGTAGAAGAATGATTAAATAATATATGGTGCATTCATTTCATGAAATACCAGGAAGCACCTGAAAAGAATAAAGTAGATCTTTGTGTGCTGACACAGAAAGGCCACCCTTGAAAGATATAACGGTATGTTAACAGCGAAGATGCATTCATATAATATTCGTCAACTTTGAAAATTGATTTAAGGGGTGCCTGGGTGGCTTAGTCGGTTAAGCTCCGACTTTCGCTTAGGTCATGATCTCGCGGATCGTGGGTTCGAGCCCCGCGTCGGGCTCTGTGCTGACTGCCAGCTCAGAGCCTGGAGCCTGTTTCAGTCTGTGACTCCCTCTCTCTCTGACCCTCCCCTGCTCACACTGTCTCTCTCTCTCTCTCTCCTAGAAATAAATTAAAAAAACGTTAAAAAATTTTTTTTAAAAAGAAAAAATTGATTTAAGAAAATCAAAGTGGTGTTTCAGGAAGATTAATGTGGTGACATTGTGTCAAATTAAAAGGGAGTGATTGAAAGTGAAGAGGGATATTGGGAGATGTTTGCATGAGCACAAATGCAGGAGGCTGAGGATAGGGACCTGAATGGTAAAGAGAAAGAGAGAACTCAGGGACATTCTGAAGAATGATTTTAAAGGACTTCATGACAGATTCCTAATGGAGGGGATGAAGAAGAGAGAAGAGATAAGAGATTTCCAGGTATAAGCTTAGGAAGCCTACTGAAGAAATATTCCTACTAACTAGAATAGCCCCCATGTTAATCAAACCACCTTTAAAGAGATTCTTTATATATTTTGTCTGTTTGTTTCTCAGGATGGAAGAAACAGTGCGAAATCTATTGCAGAGTCAAGGGCCTCCAGAGCAGAAAAAAGAAGAAACTGTTAATATAATGATCTATCAGGTACACCACATTTCTTACTCTTGTTTGGGCGCAAGTTCGTTTGTTTTTCTTGTATTCCTCTAAGTCTGTCCTCCCTAACCCAGAGATAAATAAACAAGTAGGGTCCAGAACCCCGTGTTGGGGGCTATATGGTCACCTCTGGTTAAGGAATCACGTACATGTTTATTTAACTCCTTCGTTTCTTGGACTGTGTGAAACAAGTTGTAGATTTGGTCATAGGAAGCTGCAAAAAAGTAAGTTTATGGTGAAACAGGGAGACCTATAAAAGTGCCATAGTACTTGGGGCACCTGGGTGGCTCAGTCAGTTAGGCATCTGACTCTTGATTTAGGCTCATGTCATAATCTCACACACAGTTTGTGAGTTCAAGCCCTGCATCAGGCTGCATGCTGATAGTGCAGAGTCTGCTTGGGATTCACTCTCTCTGCCCATGTTCTCTCCCTCTCTCTCTCAAAATAATTAAATAAAAAATACCATAGTAGTCTGCGGTCAGTATCTGTAGTGTTCTCTGAGAATATGGAGGGGAGTGACTCATGCTGTCCGGGAAGTTAAGTGTCATACCTCCAAGAAGTTATGACACTTGATATATTTCAGAGGTATGACACGTAGGGGCTTGAGGGATAGAGAACAGGAGAAAGGACGTTGCTGACAGAGGAGTATTTTGGAGACAGTATGAATTTGCATGACAGGCTCAAGGAGAAAGAAGCTCACAGTAAGTAAATAATGGCCTGATGAGATAAAAATCTTGATGGTGAGACTGAGGGTACATGGAAGAGCTGGATGAGGTCATGCTGTATGCTGTGCTCATGGGTGTGGCCTTGCACCTTGGCCCTTTGGAGTCAGAAGAGATCCAAGTTGAGTAAGTGGTAGACTAAGTAACCAGTCATCATGTTCTGATGGTCTTCAGTCAACGGTTCTTTAACACTAGCAAAGCAGCCAAGTGACAAGCAGGGCATCCAGTATAAGCATGATCCAAATTGGCCACACAGATGTGAAGGCTCTGGCAGGGTGGAAAGGAGACATGTAGTGGAAAGAGCACAGGCACTCAATATAGAGAAATTGAAGACTTTTATTGAAAATCACTTAAAATCACAAATAGAAAACTAATATCCATTGCACAACTAAGCACTGGGAACCCAGAAAGCTAAATAAGGCAAGGAAACTGAGTAAGCCCTGGGCAGCCCCAGATTTTTACTGACTAAAAAGAAAGCGTGTCTGAGTAGACAAGCACAGAAACCTGGCTGGTAGAGATCTTGTCGCATGATTTTCCCTTAATTTATGGATTCAAGGGTCTACAGTCCCCCCTTGTTATGAAGAAGATCTGAAGGAATCAGATTAAATAAACATCTTAGTATTATAGGAAGTTAAGAAATCTTGGCACGGTTAGCCTTAAGAAGTGTGCACGCTAAGTAGTTGACTTGACACATATAAGGCTATTATATAAGGGGGACATCTATTGTCCAGCTCCAGGGAAAACAGTACGAGGCATTGACTTAAGCTACCAAGAAGAGATGAAAGTTAGCTCCAGAAACACAATAGAAAAAAAAATCAATAACGCCCATTTCAAGGGAAAAGGTTTAGATTCTTCTCGAGGGGTGGTCTTTACACATGGAATGCCTGCTCAGCTTTTCCTGATGTATGGTTGCCTCAAGTTAGGGTAAGGATTTAAGTCCTCGTCGCTCTAAAGCTTTCCCAAGTATTATGTGTGCTTTGGACGAAAATGGAAGTACAATTAAAACAGGACTTGGTTCCACATTGAGTGGTTTTGTGTAGCCTAAAAGAATCTGAAATGTAAGTCATTTGTTCCTCCTCACAGGTAATACCAGGCTTTAGTTAGAGCTAAATAATTCAGTGTTGCTCTTACACTTTTCCAGATCTCCTCATTATGGGGCACTTAGCATCAGAATTCATTTTGTGAAACTGGAAACTACTTAGACAAACAGATATAGTTTTAAAAATGTGTTTTAAGACTTTCCTCTCTATAACCCAGTCTATTGGATTTGAGAAATTAGCTCCTCTCTCTGGGGAGGATGCCGTTATTAACTTGAATTCATGCAACATGGAAGGGATTTTATTTTAGTCATCGCTCTAATTGGCCTGTGGCTCATTGTCTGGAAAATGGGAAACAGACATGGGTTGTACGATCCGTGAAAGTCACTTATACATTCAACAGATATTTATTAAGCTTCTAGTATGTACCAGCCGCAACCTTGTTTTCTGGGAGTTCTAGGAACAGAATGAAGAGAAGAGAAAGAAGAGTGTTGCTGGGTGGCACTGAGTCCCAAGAAGGTCCCTGTCATGTCACTGATTCTAGTCTATGTCTGAGAGGTGCCAAAGAGGGTGTGCAAGATGTGCATGGCAGTATTGGTAGAGCACATGGTTAACACCTCCTTGTTTTAGGTAAGAGTTGGAAAACTTATCACTCCATAGTATGGGGTGTTATAAGCACACCTTTCCAACTGTGAGATTTCTCTGACAGGAGCTGGAAGTCCAGGGAAAAGTTTAAGCACTTGGGAAAGCTGGGAGCTTGTTTCAGTTTCCATCATGGAAGCATTTGTTCTGAGGTTTTTATCAATGAGTTAGTATAATAGTAGCAGAGTAATAGCTTCCTGTGTTCTAGGCCCATGCTAATTGCTTTGCACGCATTCAAGGGTGGTCATGTTTTGTTCTAGAGGTGTGTTCCTGGAGACCTCTCATTATTTGTTACTCATATTGTTCGTAACTTGCTTAATTCAACATGGGTTCCCTCAGAGAACAGATGGGTGTTTCTGTTCCGCAGCTGAAGCAGACCCATCTCGTGGCAGCCAGTGGGTCACAGTTTACCAGCTTCACGTGACATCGTGCAGTCCTTGACTCATTTTTAATTTGAAGAATTTTCATGATTTCAAGGTTTGTGCAGGAAGTGACATTAGTAACATTTTTATGTGCCTTCAGTTTCACATGCGCCTAACTCAGGGTCCTATCGAATGTGACTAGATTGTAGCTCATTCGTTCCCCACAACAGTTGTGTCACTATTGCCCTCTTATAGATGTGGACATAGGCTCAGAGACCTGAGCACTTGCCCAGAGATGTACTGAGTGAAATAGCCTAGAAGGGCCTTGAACCCTAATTGGTCTGTGTCCATGCCCTCAGCTCTTCCCAAGAAGGAGTCCCAGAGAAATTAAATGATGGGGCCCAAGTTACCCAGCTCATTGTTGGAGCCTGAATCTAGGTCTTTCCCTTTTTTATTTAGGGCTTTCTCTTTTCATGCATTTTCCCATTCATTCAAATAACAGGTAGGCATTTACTTTTTATCTAAGTGTTTTTGTTTTCTACTTCAGCTATTACAAATTTCGTGGCTTAAAACCACACAAATTTATTCCCTTATAATTCTGGAGGTCAGAAGTCTACACTCGTCGTGCTGGAAGGACAACATTCTTTCTTGAGGCTTCAATACACAATTGTTCCCTTAGCTTTTCCAGATTCTAGAAGTCCTTGGCTTGTGGTTCTTAACTCCATCTTCGAGCTACATCACTGCAAAGTCTGGTTGCATTGTCGTGTTTCCTTTTTCTGAGTTTGACCCTTCTCCCTCTGTCCCTCTTACAAAGATCCTGTGATTACACGGGGCACAGCCAGGATTATCTCCCCACCTCCAGATCCTTCATTTAGTCACATCTGCAAAGTCCCTCTGCCACGAGAGGTGCCACTGCCACAGGGTTTAGGGATTGAGCTGTGGACGTCTCTGGTAGGGCACGGGGCAGGCCAGGCATTGTCTGTCTGTCACACTTTGGAACCCAGCAGGCTGGCAGTTCCTCGCAGACAGCAAGCTAAGTGCTGGAGATGCAAAGATGCCTGCCTCACAGAGGCCTTTTCCTGGAAAGCTCAATTTATAAGATGCTGGGGAGTTGGGAGGGGGGGCCAGTAATCAAATATCTGCAACAATGTGAATGGGGCCAAAAGAGCGGTCTGCATAGATGGGTTCTGGGAACACACAGGAGGATGCCACCAAACTTGCCACACAGCTCTTCCGGGAGGCGCTTGCTCCTGACCAGGACCTCTTGTTAATAATCTGTTTTTGTTCTTCATTTCTTTTGTTTGGTTTTTGTTTTGGGGATTTTGTTTGTTTTTTGGTCTCTGTTGTCTCTTGAAATGGAACCCGGAGTCATGAACTTCTTCCTGAGTCCCACAGCCCTAGTGTTTTACAGCCCGAATACAGCATCTGAGTGTCCAGACACATAGGACACATATGCACTTTACAGTTTACAAAGAGCACAAAGTGGATCTCATTTATTCATTTCAGCAGTCTCTAAAATAGGTATGATCATGCTTATTTCTAAGGGTAAGACCGTTTCACCCTTATTTCTAAGAGGCCTGATTTAGCACTGGCAAATGCTCAGTGGTAAAACCAGAGGTAAGTCATTGAGGTTCCTAAATGAGAATCTATAGACTAAAACAGCACGTGTCTATGAGACAGTTTGATGGGGGGTGGGATGGCAGGAATGAGCACAGCCTAAACTCCTCAGCTCACAGTCACTGTCAAAATACAATAAAAAAATAATAAGTGAAAATAAACTGAGATAAGTTAATAAGCCCTGTAATGCTCATGCCTGTCATCTCTTGGGTGGGGAAGGCACGTGAGTAAGAAAAATAGCATCATTATGTGCACGTAGGAAAAGACCTAGACCTGGTACCTAGGATAGTCTCATTTCACTGGAGGGAAAGAGAGACCTCAAGGACTGTCTGTAGAAGAACCTGAACAAGTAGAAACATGAACACTTCCTCTCTTGTGTTTTGTTTCTTTCTCTAGCTCGTTCACTGTAAGTGTTTAGGGGTTTCTTATGTGTCATCTTATATATGCTCATCACCCAGGTGACCATGTCATTTAGTTAAGTAAATTAGGAAACACATTAGAAAAAAAATCATGATTACACATGAAAGGTGGGGATTTAGCACAGATGAAATGGAGCAGTCACTTGAGAAGGGCTTCATATCCTCTGCTTCAGCCATCAGAATATTCAAGAC